TGACCCAAGTTGTCAAATTCTTGTCCCAGCAGCTTTTCTTTCCACATTGGCAGCATTCCTTGAATAGCTAAACAGCTAGTTGATCATCAGCCAAGTTTAAGGAGAAGCACAAATTCCTAGTCTTCTGGAACCTCTGAAGAAACTTAGTGCCTGATTCATTAGTCTTCTGCCTTATAGTTGTCAAGTTGGTTATCTTCTTTTCTCTAGTCCCAGTGTAAAAATATGTATGAAACTTCTTCTCTAGGTTAGCCTAGTTGGCAATAGAATTGACTGGTAGTGATGAAATCCAATTGAAGGCTGGCACTGATAAGGACAAGGAGAAGAAACGAACTCGATGGGCATCCTCAATTGATGCTTCACCCAATTGTGTAAGATACCGACTGCCATGTTCTATCGTGCTTGTACTGTCTTGGTCAGTGAACTTAGCAAACTTTGGGAGCTTGTAATTTATGGGAAGAGCAACCAAATCATACCATTCTAGATATGGGCGTTTGTACAAAAAGGTCAGCCCTTTTGGCTTCAGACCGAACTAATTCTTCATCATCTCGGTCACCCTCAGCAGCAACTCGTCAGCATTTGAATTTGGATTTCTCTGCACCTGCTGACTCATCTGTGGATTGAAATCCTATGTGCCTTGATATCCTAGATTTGACATCATGTGAAGGGTGTTATAATTCGTGCCATAGTGATATCCTTGTGGAATTTTGATCTGCTGGGTTCTTTGCTAACTTGCTGCTTGAAGTCTCTGATTGTAGACATAAGGATCTATATCTCTACGGATTCTTTGAATTGATGGTGCTATTTTTTGAGCCGACGACGGTATGTGACCTGATGTGCCAAAATTGATCACCTGGTTCTGACCTTGCCCCACCGGCTGTTGCACATGCTGTACTGGTGGTCCAGGATTATACTATATTTGATTCATAGTAGTTCCTTGAGCCTGTTCAGATGAACTCTGAACTGCCTGGACATCACCATTACCAGCTGGTGCTACTTCTTGATGGCTGATACTGACTTGATTAGTCCTTGGGTCGACGGATCTGGAATGTTGTAATAAGCCGACCCACCTTGACCAACTAGAAACCCATGAATCGCCTCTCTCATGGCGTTGTGGAATATGTCCAAGAAAGCTTCGCTATGGCTTGATATGGCATCACGAACAGATTTGTCTACAACTTCCTTAAAGAAACGCCTGTCTTCATCTTCAGTTGTATCCGTCTACCCATGTAGTAGAACTCTTGGTAGTGAAATTTTCTAAACAATTGTGTTGTCACGTGTTTTGGTGTAGGACAACAAACACTTGTTCGAAACTCTTCTGTAGCTTTGCTGATGACACCTTTATCTCCATCGGGTAGATCTTCATAATGTATCATAAGGATGTCGTTGTTGTTGTGAGCCGCCATGACGATTGTGGGGTGCTACCGAGCGTGCCAGAAACATGTGTCGACACGGAATTTTGTCCCGTGTCGAGGACACACGAGCAAGCCGGAAGGGTCCGCTCGATGGAGCTGGAGATCCGCCTAGCTTCAGCGCAGGGGTAGTCGATCCTGTGCACTCCTCCTGAGACGTGTCAGTCAATTTGACCCTGCAATTGACAAGGAAAAAAAGCTTATCAGTAATTAAGGGCGAAACATGCCGGTGTTGCCAGACAGTCCCGAATGTGTGGCTCTGAGAGCCGATATGAAAGGAGATCGACTAAATAGTCTATTCTAGCATATTCATAAGAATAAATCGGTTAAAATTCATGGGGTCGTGTAAGAAGAATCGGTTATCGTTCAGGATGGATATCATTCTTTAAACAAATATTGGTCAATAGCAATAAGATATTAACAATAATTAGTTCATGCTAAGCCAATGACTGCAAGTAACCGAACTCCTTTATAAAAGAAATAGTTCATCATCATTCAACCATTTAATAGAGATAAATCTAATGAACATATTAGATCTCATCTATCGCTATGACCAGTGGGGCATGAGGCAGAATCATGCAGGCTGTAGAAACAACAATAGACTCGACAACCCTAACTTATTACTAATATTAGTGGGGCATGAGGCAGAATCATGCAGGCCGTAATACAATAATAAGATCATGGGGCTAACACATCTTTCAACCTATCGCTACTTCAACGATCTCGTGATGCGAACTGTTCGTGAAAGCGCTCGATATCGGCTAAAACAACCGATTCAGGCATAGCACATAGTTAAAGTCATGCCCTCTCAAGAACAGATACCAAATAACGATCCCCACTCCACGGTGCTAACAGTGGGGTGTGAGGCAGAATCACACAGGTCGTGATAACGGGCCATGGAACAGTTTCTGCTAGCTAATAGATCTACTCAAGATCAAACACGCCTTAACCGCACGCTATGCACGATCAAGATTGATGTAAAACAGCCGATAAAACATAACTCATCGTTTAAAGTACAGATTAGATCAGTTTTAGATTAACAAACGATGGGTTAAAAAGGATATAAGGCCGATCTAGATCAATCCCAATCGGGCAAAGTGATATTGCTGTAATCAAGTAAATAATGGAAGCAATAAGCAATATCACTAACTTAATGAATCTATCTGAAGGAACGCCACCCTTAGATAGAGCCGATAACTTGACCTTAATCTAGTTCGAGCAGTGGAGGTCGACCGGATCGATGCAGCCGTACTTGAACTAGACAAGAGTCGATAACTAACTCATACCAGAGTCGCAGTGGAGGTCGACCGGATCGATGCAGCCGTACGAATAGAGGAATAAGCCATGACGGTACTTATAGACAAGCAGTGGAGGTCGACCGGATCGATGCAGCCATACTTGCTGAAGAACTCGTCGAGATCTACTCTACTCCTACTCCTAAGGGGTGGCCAGAGCCAAAAAAAGTAAATAACTAGTATTTGATTGATTGTGTGTCTTCTTACAATAGCCGGGGTTTGATATTTATACCCGAGACCAACGCATGACTCCTATCTAAGCACGACTCATCACAATCTTTGGCCCTACGAGAAAACATTTCTAATTTAAGATAACTTAGACTCTAATCTTTCCCCTTTTGTTGAGTCCATCATGTCTTATCCCGACGCCGATCTTAGTCTTTGTCGTTATCTGCTGGCGCTGCCTGAAGAAAGCCGATTCCAGTGCTGCATTCAAATCAGCTGATTTCGATCTTTACGCAATTGATTCCCTGCTGACATGATCTTAGGAGCTTTTGAGTCCCTTGCGACTCTTCTTTCAAATTTTGGTGTAAACAGGACGCACATTTAGTAATGCTCCTACAGATGCAATAAACCCACAAGCCAGATAGCCTTGCATATCCTTGGAGTCTTTTCTTTTCTCCTGACGAGTAAGTCTTGCGGAGTACAATTGAGTACTCAGGGTTTGTTCTACCTTGTTGCAGTTGACAAGCGGATGCTAGAGTTGACACAGAACCTCCTGGTGGGCTCAGCGAGGATTCCTTTACACTGCGATCATAGTTTTTATTTATAACTCTCACTAAATATTTTTATAAATAGAAGTTTTATAATCTGTTGTCATAGTTTATATATCAATGCTTCATGTCATGAATAGATATTTATTTTCGCTGTAACTCTGGTCACATGTTTATATTCCGCTGTTAAATTAAATTGTTCATAACTCTGATAACATGATCATATTCCGCTATTATAAACAATAAATATTATACTCTGATGTTGCATGGAAAGGGATATAAGAAATGACTAAAATGTTGTAAGCTTTATTCTCTCATTTGTGATCCTGATGGAAAAATATAAATCTTCGGGTTCTCCCTTGGGGTGTGCTCGACGGAACTACGTAATTTAGTATCCTCCATTGAGTATTTAGTGTCTAATAAAAGACAAGTACTCCTAGGAGGCATTAGATTAGGCGATTCTGCCACAAAGCGCAACTACGGCTCCTACCGACCCCTAGGTGCAAGGGCTCCACCTCGACCGACCTATAGGGAGCCTTTGGGGAAGGACTTCGCCTCGTCCGACCCTTGGGTTTGCGCTCCGCCTTGCCCTACCCCAAGGCCGCGAGCTCCGCCTCGCCCGACCCTTGGGATTACGCTCCGCCTCGACCGACCCCGAGGCCGCGGGCTCCGCCTCGCCCAACCCTGAGGCCGTGGACTCCGTCTCGCCCGACGGAGACCCATGCCGCCGCTAACCACTCTATGTCCAAGTGTATGGGCCCGGATCAAAGCTCTGACACCTAGGAGAAGACCGACATGCCCCGATGTAACCCGCGGCCACGACGGGCCATACCCGAGGATTCACATCAGAAACAGCGTCGGGTGTACCGATGCTGTTCTGTCTAACCCTCGTACAAACACTGACAGACGCGTCAGTTCACCACGACGTCCGCCAAGACGGAGTGGAGCGCCATGACTGGATAGGGCCAGTGACGGACAGGGCCGCGACGTGGAGCCATCCTTATTGACATCTACAGAGTCGACGGGACCCGCATAAAGGATAAGGACTTGTCAATCCTGAAGGTCTTCGGCTCTCTCGTTCTTCTCTTTCCCTCCGCTGTAACCCGTGCTTTCCCTTAGCCTATAAAAGGAAAAGCAAGACACCCCACGAAGAGGATCGATCGATCGATGGAGGCCAGACCCGATCGAACCATCACAAACCCATCGAACCTCAAACCGACCAAAACATAACACAAACACACGGCTGATCAGCAACCGAGTTCTCGGCACCCATTCACTCTTTCCACCAGAGACTTAGAACTTGTCCCTCTCTTATCCGTTTGTAACCCTTACTACAAACTTTCAGTGCTGGTAACACGAGTAGCAGCGACGAACTGGACGTAGAGACATTCTACCCGAACCAGTATAAACCTCGTGTCCTCTAAGCACACCATCCGAGCCAGACGCGCAATACTAAAAATTTACTCGTTGGTGGTAACTCGAAACACTGACAATACTGTTTACAAAGTGAACAGCATTATGGCTGGTCAAATGCATGTACTGTGCTCTAGCACCGTGTCCTGCTTGATATCGCAGCATCAGGATTATGATGAACGAAGCCCGGGGACATTGTTAAGACCCATCTTGCGAAGAATGTTTTTAGGTATAGCTGGAGGAACAGCCAGACCCATGCTTTGGCTGAACTCTTCTGCAAGGTGAGCAAGTCTGGACTTATCTCGACCAATGGTCTTGTTTGAGTTGTAGTACCCTAACCATGCTTGATAGGCACATTCTTTGCTCTTCATCTCTACTTTTCTGACAGCGTTTTTGACCTATCAAATCAGGCAGAAATAAGAAAACAAGAGTGTGTTATATTTACAGGAAAGAAAAGTTGAGTATAGATTTTCTGAGTAGGTTAAAAAGAAGACATGCATAGCTAAATTTGGAGAAGACTGACTTAATCAGAGAGAGCCAGATGGAAAATAAATAGTATATGCTGCTTACTTCTGTTTCAACACTAGAATCAACTGGCGGTACTGCAGACTCTGCTATTGACAAATCCTTAACAGTACCAAGAAAATATTTTTCCCAAGGTGCCAATAGTAGGAGTCCTTGCCCTTCCTTGCCTTTCCGTCCAGTCCGGCCTAGTCTATGTATGTACTGTTCTCTATCTGCAGGAATTCCAACCTGCAAGAGAAAGTAATTTTTGGCAATCTTTTCTCACAAGAGGATAAACATATCCTGATCACAGAGTTCTCTTAAACATGCCCGACTGCCCGTGATGTAAATGTGGTCCACGATGGCAGTTTACAGACACTCACGAACTAAAGCAAATAATTCAGCATTACTGACAACACACCTGTATTACAAGAGTGACATCAGGATAGTCAACACCGCGGGCAGATACGTCCGAACTGACCAGTATCAAACCTTTTGATTTCCTGAATTCATCTGAGACCTTAGTTCTTGCAGACTGTGACTTTCTGGAATGGATCTCTCTTATATTCAGTTTCAGCTGGGAGAGAACTTCAGCCACAAGTTTGGTGACCATTGCAGTAGTACAGAATATAATAACCTGCCAAATTGTACGATAAATGACAGACTGAACTTCCTATGACATAGGCTGGCAACTTGAAGTCACTTACTTTGTAGTCTGCATCTTCTGCGACGTGCTTCTTCAATACATCATATAGGATAGAAAAATGCAAGTCCAGTGGTGCAACCATGTACATCTGGCTCACCTGATGCCACAAAAAGAAAAAGGTAGGGTGTTTAACAGCGCAAGCTTTACAACTTTGCAGTTACAACTCAAAGCAATAATGGATATAAAGTTCTAAACCTGTGCATGTGTCTCCTCATCACCCTCTTTAACAGTGTTAACGAACCTATAATCTTTCTTCATTGCCACATGAGAGATTTGGCGGACCTAACAATAGAACTTCAGTTCATTAGATTGTTCATGATACGAAAGGGGACAATGAGATAAAAAGAGATACCTCTTCTGGAACAGTAGCAGAAAACAACAGTGTTTGTCGTTCTCTAGGAATTGAAGCAATTATTTTCTCAATATCTCTTCTAAATCCCATATCCAACAGGCGATCAGCTTCATCAAGAACAAGAACCTTCACACCCTTGAGCCTGCTAGAAAACCCAGGTGTGTTCTCGAGATGATCCTTCAGCCTTCCTGGTGTAGCAACAAGAATCTGTAAGATAACAACTAAGTGTTAGTACATATATCACTCGCAGATATTAACACATTGTAGTTGATGCCCACAACCTGACATGGGTTAGCTTGCATGCTTCGTTGTTCTTGAGTTAATCTTGTGCCACCAATTACAACCTGCACACCTAACGAGCGATGATACCTGAGAAGCTTCCTGGCCTCAACAGCCACTTGGTTTGCAAGCTCCCTAGTAGGGCACATCACCAGCAAATTTATAGGTGGCCGTAACTGATTCTGCTCACGAGGTATAGTGGATAGAACCTCAATCGCTGGAAGCTGTAACAAAGGTCAAAACTTGTATAGTGACTAGATAGTTTCGTTTTTTTTTCTTTGACATAAATTGACCAGATAGTTTCACTGCAATAATTCAGCTGCTCCTAATAACATCAGATTGACCATGTGACTGAAGAACAAGAAGTAATACCAAAAATGCAACTGTTTTCCCAGTTCCTGTCTTTGCCTTTGCAAGAACATCCTTGCCTACATGGCAACAAAATATTGAAATGTCACCTTCAGGGCTTCCCAAGATTTTAATGTTACAACGTTAAGCAATAGCATTTGCATTTTCACTAACCTTGAAGAATTATGGGCAGAGTTGCCTCCTGCACCTCAGTCATCCTTTCATATCCAGCATCTTTGACGGCTTTCATCGATAAAGGGGAAATAGCACATTGATCAAACCTGCAACATGCATCGCATTCAACAAACCAAAAACTGAAAACAAAAGCTGCAAATGCAAGACAAAAATAAGACGGAGTCTAACAGGTTAGCTCCCAATTTCAAATTATATCCAAACTCACTGAGCTCACAAGCCCTACAAAAAGGGTGGCCACAACTAAGTTGTATAGTTTGGTAGGCTTACTCTAACATGGGCCACTACTACAACCTGTGACACTTGATTATCTAAACGAGCAATGTAACCTTTCATTGTCAAATTGTAATTGTATCTAGCTTAATTTACTAGTAGAAAAACACCAACAACCCGAGGTTCTTCTTATCTAAAATCGAAACCACATTGCAGTTCAAAATTTCAGACTCCACAATTGCGGTGCAAAACATTACCGTGTCTCACTGAGGTAGGAGCCATCCACACCTCCCGTCTCGCCACCATTATTCTCCACTCCCAACTTGAGAGCCTCATCATCTTCCTTGTCCTGCTCCTCCTCCTCCCCCTCCTCATCGACGAGTTCCCTCCTCGTGGCCACCCCGGAGAACCCGAATCCCTCCTCTGCGTCCCTGCGCCGCCTCTTCTGGTCGGCGCCGCCCGACCTGACCCGTCGTCCAACGACGTCGGCGATGCCGACCTTGGAAGCGGCCAGAGGCGAGACGAGTCCGCTGCGGCGCCTCGCCGGGACTAGGAGGCGGCAGGCGAAGGCCCTCGCTAGGACCGGGGTGCCGGCGTGGGCGCGGAGGAGGAGGTCGCCGCTGGCCATCTCCGGCAAGCAGGGTTTTGTGAGGACACACGGGGTTCTTGGGGCTTGCTGCGGCTTGGCGCGCGGCGACGAGAAGATAAGATATCTCCAGGGCGAGCTTTTAAAGCATTTCGAGACGCTGGGTCCAGGTAACTCTTTTTTAATTTTTAATCAACCAAGGCAAGGCACTCTCGTCTGTCTGTCGTCTGTCTGTCTTATACCTTCCGTCCTGTCCCGTCCATGCTCAACCATGGACTCATGGTCTTGTTCGCTGAAATTTAGCTTAAGCCGACGTCGATACTGATACTAATTTGTTAAAAAAAAAACTTCTAGTTAAAAAAAATATTATTAAAGTAGTGCTAAAGAATATGACGCGAAAAATCAGGTAGCAGCAGGTTACTCTACCGCAGCTCACCGCCGCTCGCAGCTTGACTGCCCAGACACAAGCTCAGCGTGCCGGCCACAAGCTCGCCGCCCTTCGTAGCTTGGTGCGCCGACCACGAGCTTGCTGCTGCCGGGAGCTCGTAGTAGCCAGGCAACGTCCTATAACGCGGCCCCCACAAATCGAAAGCTAGGCACATGAAACCGGCTGGGCTGGGCTGCAAACGCCAACCTCATTTTCTTTCCACTTTTTGTTTTCTCTCTTATCCACGTTGGATTGGATTTTGGTGAGGTGTCCTGACTATAAGCCAATCTAACGTAGCTTTATTGTACCTGCTCCCCGCCACACAAACTGCCCCCGCCCCTCTCGACCACTCTTCTGTCTCGACACTCACTCCCGTCTCGTGTCTAGCGCTGACGGCGGTGCCACCGCAGCCGTGCCAGCGGCCACAATGCCTCTGCCACCGCAGACGCACGCGCTCCGCCTCTGCCCGCTGCTCTCCACCATCCGATCCACACCACCGCGGGCCACTGCCGCAGCCCGCCAGGGCGCCTCGCCAGCGCTCCTCGTCGCCCGCTGCTCCTCCGCCGGGACGCCGTCAGCCGCCCAGGCGCTCAAGGTATGGTTCCTGGTTGACCCCATCCCACCGTTTTCCTTGTTCCTGGCCGCCGATGAGGCGTGATTGATGGCGCCAGTGCTCCTCGTCTCCCGTCCCTTGGGTTTTTGAGTGGCCGGATTGATGGCGCCGGGTTCTGTGCAGGGCTCCCGTGCAATTGTAGTTGTAATTATCACTTCCCGTCAGAAGTTGCGCCCACCGACCGGGTCTGGGACTTAGCAGGCATGTTCCCACAAGTGAACGGCAACTTGCATTGGGGTGTCATTTTATAACGTGGCAACGTAAATGACGTGGACGTTGCCGGAACGAGGAACGTGGCTATGTTCCACATTTCCGGCTGCTAAGGTCTGGGAGGTGTGGGCGAATGTATGTGCTATTTTTGTTTTTCGTGGAGCCGGATTTCGGTTGCGGTTTCTCTGCTGGGATCCATAATTTTGGTGGGTTCGTGTGTTTCTCCAGACGCATTAGTTGCAAAACTGCTTGTATGGTGGCCTTGCTGTGTGTTTTGGGATTATCCGTCACTTTAGCTTATATGCATGTGTTCGTAACTGGAAGAACAGGAATGTTCCTGAAGAAGTGAAGCTGATGCTATCTGATAGTCTTTCGGTGGAGGATGAAGACAAGAAGGGCAACTGGTTTAGTTTAATGAATCTGGGGGCTTATCTTGGGAGGGATGGATGAATGTTTGCTTTGATAGTTTTTTTTCTTCGGTTTTTTGGTTTTCTCTCTATGGACAGGTGTTGCCCACCTGAATGCTGTATCTGAAGCTCTGAACATGTGTGTCTTTGCTTAATGCTAAGACTGGGCAGAGCCCTATAACTCTAAAAAAATGCATGTGTTCATGCGTTTTTTAACTTAGGAATCATTGTATGGTCCATTGGAGAGTTTCTTTTCGAAACAATGGGTTGGGGGATCATCGAGTTGTCTTGTACTTTTGGTGTGATGCACAATCTCACATAATGATTATTATAACCTTTTGTGTAGATCAACTCGATCCCGACCAAGCCAGTTGAGGGGCAGAAGACGGGGACTAGTGGCCTGAGGAAAAAGGTACTCCATTTCACTGCTTCCGAGCTATGCAGATTTAGTAGTAGCTTTTATTCCTCTGGAAAACATTGCTGTACAGGTTCCGGTATGGTGACAGATTATGGATTGTGATAGCATTCTCTGCTGTTCTTTTCAGGTGAAAGTGTTCCAGCAGGAGAACTACCTTGCTAATTGGATTCAGGTGTGCTGCAATTTGTTGCTGTTGCGCTTATGTATATCTTAAGTCCTATTGATTTCTCCATTTTCTGTGGTTTCAAGGCTCTATTCAATTCCTTGCCCCCTGAAGATTATGTGGGTGCAACCCTTGTACTTGGGGGTGATGGCCGGTACTTTAACAAGGAGGCTGCTCAGGTACAGCTTGAAATGTAGAATGAGCACATATTTATTTGATCCATGTTTGTTTGTACATATTTGTGAGTACCTGTACTGTTGGAACTATAGATCATCATTAAGATTGCAGCTGGAAATGGAGTTCAGAAGATCATTGTCGGCAGGTAAGGAATCAGCTGATTATCATTTTTTAAGGATGAATCAGAAACTATTAGAGGTGGGCCTATTTGTTCAACTAAAATTATTGAAAAGCATTCGGTAGAATACCATGTATATTTATCCATAGAATACAGATTAAAGCTTGCAGCATGCACCCTGTGAACGCATAAAATATTCAACTAAACAATTTTATGATTTTGCCACAAAACTATCTTTCTGTATGTTAATCACTTGATGTTGAGTTGATGCTGTGCTTTGGAAATGATATATACTTTCCTTGGATTGAGCATGCTTTCCCAATGTTATTCCTCTACCAAACTTTTTATTTCCCATACTTCATGTCTTGTTATTGTCTAAATGTCCATCATTTTGTTTGCAGGGATGGTCTACTGTCAACTCCTGCTGTATCTGCAGTAATTCGTAAAAGAGAAGTATGTCTTGGATCTTCATAAATTAATTATGTGGATGACTGTCCACTTTGTCCATTTTTGATGGTTTCTAAATTCTTTTTTAGGCCAATGGTGGCTTTATCATGAGTGCAAGCCATAATCCAGGTGGACCAGACAATGACTGGGGTATTAAGGTGTGCTAGGCAGTAAAAAGATGTGTATTGTGTTTTCCCTCTACAGCAGTGATTTATTGAATCCTTAAAACTTACTCCAAGTGGATAATGACATGGAATGTTTGAGCAAGCAGTACTGAACAAAAACTTTACTATTTCTAGAAATCAAGGTTACCAGCCATGGATGTCGATATAGTGACAGGGAATGACAATCGAGAAGTTGAATATATGTATACTCACACACATTGCTGTGTTTGTGTTTGTCAATGTATGGATTCCTTTTACTGAAAAAGAAGACAAATAAAGTTCTTTTGTATGTTTATATATTTTCTTGTTTGATATTTTTTGCATCTTGCCAAAGGGCCTCTAGTCCAGTTGGTCAGAGTACCCCGGCGGCACTCCTCAGGTCCTGGGTTCGACTCCTCGTGGGAGCGAATTTCAGGCTGAGGTTAAAAAAATCCCCTCATCCGTCCCATATCCAAAGCACTGGGGGGGCCACCGGCCCAATTCTCACTTGGGTGACGGAAAGCCACCATGTAAGGGTGGGGCGGGGGTTCTGGGGTTTTCTCGGCCTGGTGAGGTCTTCTTCTTATTTGGAATGTTGTGGGGGCAGTCTTAACCCCTTCAGGTCGAGTTTTTTTTTCATCTTGCAAATCAAGCAATTGGGAGAGCATCTAGTTATGCTTTAGCTAATATTTGGAATGAAAAAAAAAATATTCATAGGTGATTTAAAGAAGATGCAATTCTGTTACCTTATTCGTGAGATTTCAAACTATTCTGATGTAAACATTGTTTTCTCACAGTTTAACTACAGCAGTGGACAGCCAGCACCAGAGACAATTACTGATCAAATTTATGGGAACACACTTTCAGTATGTAGCTCTAACACTTGATTTTACACTATAAATCATCATATACATATCTACTGTTCATTTCTTGTATTGTTGCTGATGTGCAATGCTAATTTTGTTCTGCAGATTTCTGAAATAAAAACAGCAGGGATTCCTGATACTGATCTATCCTGTGTTGGAGTTGTAAGCTATGGTGATTTCACCATAGAAGTGATAGATCCTGTTTCAGATTACCTTGAACTAATGGAGGTATGCAGTGAAATATTGGGGAGCAATACCCTGTTTTTATTTCACTAATAATTTGTTTGTTTTTGGCTTGCAGAATGTATTTGACTTCCAACTTATCAAGGATTTGCTTTCTCGGCCTGATTTCAGGTCTCCCTCTCTCTCTATATCTCCTTTTGTATTTACATGTTATTGTGAGTGTATTACTTGAGTAATAATGTAACTATTAGACCCCTTATAATCCATATGTTCATATTGACCTACTATTCATACATGTTCTTATTCACCAGTGTCTTTGGTTATTCTTGGCAAAAATTTCTCATTGGTTGTTCTTGGTAATATGAGCATACTATTAAAAAGCACATATAAAGTTGAATATTTAGCTCGTTTTTACAGGTTCATATTCGATGCGATGCATGCAGTTACTGGTGCGTATGCAGGACCTATTTTTGTTGAGAAACTTGGAGCTGATCTGGTAGCATATTAATTTACTTGAAACAAAGGCTTTAGTTCTCTTGAAAGATTATTTTGTTTGATGCTAAATACCTTGTTTTCAGGACTGCATATTAAATGGGGTGCCTCTTGAAGATTTTGGAAATGGTCATCCAGATCCAAATCTAACGTATGTGTATCATTTCTGGTATAAAGGGATATATTTATCAAAATGCGAACAAATATTTAATCATTTTATTTCTACTTATTTTTGTACTTCTTTGAAACAACTCTCTTGTTTGATAATTGATTGGAATTCCAATGAAACACAATGTTTCGAAGACACTAGTTGAATTTTCAATTTCTTATGCAGAACTGAAATCTTAGTGATGCAATAATTTAAAGTTTACAGGTTGTATTATTTAATTGACTGATATTGTTTTACAGTTACGCTAAGGAGCTTGTTTTTACTATGTTTGGAACCGATGCACCTGACTTTGGTGCAGCAAGTGATGGTATGTCTGGATTCAGACTGCTACTTTGTTTCCATGTTCTCAGTATTGGATATGCCCAAAATTCAATGTTCTTGCTTATGCAATGGAAAGTTGTCAGTTCAAGATGAAGCATTCTTTGAGAGCATTAATCCACTAGCTTAGAAATATTCAGAAGTTATCAAATCATACATTGTCCCTGGCTTTCCTTTCTCGAAGAGAGAATTCTTTTAGCCATTGACCTTATGAACTGAATGATGGCCATGTAGAAGCTAGTAATTTACTCCTTTCATTCAGTTAGATTTAGTGCATGTCTAGAACTGTCCATGTAAATTACTACTGCTAGTGCACATATTTACATTTGAATTCTTATTTTATAAGAAGTTTTTGGTTTCTAACTTGACATTGTCATTTAAATCTGAAAATGCACTGCTGTTGTGCTGGCAAACTCTGTGCTATAGATGAAAGCGGAAATGTAAAGTTTACCACAGCTCGTTTTAAGGTTTTATAGCATATTTGGGGAAAACAGAATTTGTAACCAAAAACGAAAATATGGAAGTGGTATCTATTTTTACCATTTCCAACCGTTTAAGCAATTTACCGTTTTCTGGTGGAAATAATCATATGTATTAGTAGGTATTAGCAGCTTTCTTCCTCAAAATACGCCAACTCCATCCTTTATCCAACCCAAGCCCATGACGCACGCCTAGGGGTGCAAATGGTACAGATACTTTCCGTCCGTATCTGAGTTCGAATCTGTTAGGAGTTTAGATCTGTCCGTAGAGTCTAGATATTCAATATCCGATACCTTATCCGTATCTTAATACTCAAATCACATTTATATAATGTCGATATCCATTCATATCTTATCTGACACAGCTGAAACAGAACTGGGAAGGTGCGGAGGGGGGTGTGTGTGTGTGTTTGGGTCTATGTATGACCCCTTTTCTTCTACTAATACAATGATACGCAGCTCTCCTGCGTGTTCGAGAAAAAAAAAGACACAACTGAAACAGCTGACACTATCTGTATTTGAATTTGAATCCGAATCTGAGAAACATTATAGCTATCTGTATTCATATCTGAAAGCATCCATCCGTATCTGACCTTTTGCACCCCTACACACGCTCCAATGCCTCAAACTCTAGCCGTCCCATCCCCATCCCATGTGCCATACTCCCTTAGTTGGCAGTCACGACAAACGACGCACGCCGTCCTGCTGCCGCTCCTCCATGTTGAAATTTATGTCAACTTTGTCTTGTGCTATGTTGAACTTAAACCATTGCATTGTTTAGATGTTGTTTGAATTGCTTTTCATGTTATTCTCATTCGTTTGTAAGGTGGCATGGTGCTTTGTTACCGTATTTTGACTATAAATCACCGACCAATACTAACCATATTCTATATACCCTTAACGCTGGTGCTATGTGTTTTCCCGGCAATATCGCTTCCAATTTCATTTCTTTAAACAAAATATATGAAAACAAAACAGTTTACGCTTTTCCTGACCATTTTCATCCCTACTCCATTCTATCTTTATTTAGTTCGTTGCATTGTATAGTGATATTTATTTATTGTTTCAAGCAAATGCTTAGTCTAACTGAATAACAACAGATAAGCATGAATTGTTTCAGGTGATGGTGATCGGAACATGATTCTTGGGAAAAGGTTCTTTATTACCCCATCAGACTCTGTTGCAATAATTGCAGCCAATGCACAGGCAGCAATTCCTTATTTCCAGTTTGGTACAAAAGTAATGTGATGGCACTTTGCTTGCTTCTCATTTTTGTCTTGGAGATGGTAGGAATCTTTAAGTTTGAACTATTTTTTAGGGACTCGCGAGATCAATGCCAACCAGTGGTGCTCTTGATCGCGTTGCCAAGAAATTGAATGTTCCATTCTTTGAGGTATCGTTGCCATGGAGTTTCATTGCTCATTATCATATACAAACAGACAAGTTTTGTAAACCTGTAATTCTACTTGATTATCTAAGACAAAGACGCCACTTCGTAGGTTCCAACAGGCTGGAAATTTTTTGGCAACCTAATGGATGCAGGAAAATTGTCTATTTGCGGAGAGGAAAGTTTTGGGACTGGATCTGATCACATTAGAGAGAAGGATGGCATCTGGTAAGAAGTAAATTACTTATCATCTGTAGCTTTTGTTAATCAATTTTTTCTTTGAAGTTCTAAACAGAGAAGCTTTGGACATCATTCATGTTTCTGTTTGTGAGAAATGTCTGTAGACAACTAGCCATACTCTTGTCAACTCTTGACTCTCAGGGCTGTTCTGGCTTGGCTTTCCATACTTGCACACCGGAACAAGGATAAGAAGGTTGGAGAGAGATTAGTGTCAGTGGAAGATATTGCTAAGGAGCACTGGAAAACCTATGGCAGGAATTTCTTTTCTAGATATGATTATGAGGTATTTAACCAAATGGATTCCTGAAATTGCACTTAAGGCCATACATGTTGGGACCACCTGACCAAATTTCTTGTACAGTCATAGTAATCTGATTTTGTCAAGAATAATTTGGGTGCATATTTCTTCTTAATTAAGAAGCCACTAGTTCCTCCTAAGTTGGCTGCGTTTTTTGTTTAACCAATGATTTTGTAATTTGTAATTGTACAGGAGTGTGAATCACAAAGTGCAAACAAGATGATGGATCACCTTAAAGATGTTATTGCAAATAGCAAGCCTGGAGAGAAATATGGTTTGTTTGCATGCATCTTTTTTATCTAGTTGCACTTGTATATTTTACTCTGTGAGGAAGCCTCCTGAAAACTGATGCTTTTGATCTCGTGATGCAGGAGATTACACCCTCCAATTTGCTGATGATTTCAGCTATACTGATCCTGTACTATCTGCTTCTCTCTTCCGCTCCCCTTCATGTGTGAAATGATTGGCATAAATCACACTTTGCTTCCATATCACAGGTAGACGGTAGTACGGTATCAAAACAAGGACTTCGATTTGTTTTCACTGATGGATCTAGGATTATCTTCCGGCTTTCGGTACATCTGTTGCTTCGTTTCCTGAAAATATATAAAATTTGTTGACGTTTGATCTACAACAATCTGATTAAGTATGCTCTTGTAGGGAACCGGATCTGCTGGAGCTACTATCCGCCTCTACATAGAACAATTTGAATCTGATATCTCAAAGCATAGTCTCGATGCTCAAACAGCTCTGAAGCCTTTAATAGGTTACTATCTTGTGCTCTTCCATGGAACTTTTTACATTCAACTTTGAAATTATTTACATGCCAATACTTAATCTTTGATAATTCCTAATGCAGATCTGGCTTTGTCTGTTTCAAAGCTCAAGGACTTCACAGGAAGAGACAAACCTACTGTCATAACATAATCTCTAGATGTTCATGACATCAGCTCCTTTGCATTTTTCTTCATTTCTTTTTGTTGTCCTCGGTCATACCAACTGAGTAGCATGGTTGTACGGTAGGGTCGGTAGGCCATGTTTTTGAATTGAACTGATGGCAAATATGTATCATTAGGACAAACTCCGCCAGAATAAATTGTTTCCCAGAAGTGTTGCAGCATCTTCCAAATATTTCTCCTCCAATAAGATGGTAATGGGATAGCATGTGGCAGAACTGTCCAAACTATGCCTACTCACATGTACTTGTCATTTTTTTTAGGCAAAACAGGAGGGGCGCACCCCTACTGTGAGATTTATTAAAACATGAGTTTAAAACAGGAGCTTAATACAGGAGGAGGATTCAAGAGACAAAGAAAGAAAGAAAAAAAATTAGAGAAACTACGAAGATTAAACAAGATTGTTTAACCATTGCTCAATTAAAGGAAAGTATCTTCTCTTTGCACGCCAGAGGAGCAATGCAAATTCTGTCTTGAACGTTCTTTTTGCATCTTCCAAGGAAGGCTGAATTTGGTTAAATATTAAACCATTCCTAACCTTCCAGATTGCCCAACACATTAAGATGAAAATCTCCATGAAGAATGGGGTCCTTTGCTGCAATTTGAAACTTTCTAAGTTCTGGTATAAGTTAGCCTGATGTGGGATCTCAAAGCTTAGCCAGTGCCAGCACTCTGAAGCAAAAGGACAGTGAAAGAGTAGATGCTCTAGAGATTCTTCCACTAGATTGTTGCATAGAACACAGTTGTAATCTGGAAGTTCCATATTTTTCCTGCGAAGCAATTCGCTTGTGCTCAGTCTATCCTTGAGAATTAGCCAGCAAAAGACATGCTTGTTTTTACAGGAACTGCTCCACATCCAATTGAAGCCAGGATGTACTGTACCTTGATCATTCAGATGTTTGTAAGCCTTGGCTACAGAGAATTTTCCAGAGTTCCAAATGCATGACCATGTATCTGGCTCTCCATTTAGAGTTAGCTGTTGGAGGTCACCTTGAATAAGTGAGAACTGCGTGAAAGCTTGCTGTGATAGAGGTAAGTGAAAGAGATCCAGCAGGTTGGTGCAATTTTTAGCTTGTACCAGAGAGGTTGTCTTTGTCTTTGCAAAAGAAAATAGCTCAGGATATGCCTGCATTGGTACTTTATTCTCCCATAGATCCAGCCACAGGTAGCAGGATTTAGCATCATTTATGTTGACCCTTGATATTCCTTTGAACTTGTCCAGCGGCTTAAGAATGTCACTCCACCAGAATGAGCCTTTCTTTCCTTGTGGTGGCACTTTATCACGTTCATAGTAGCTTTCCCAAATGAGTGAGACCCAAGGGATGTCTTCCTTGTTAAAGAATTTGCTCAAGTGTTTAAGTAACAAGGCTTCATTTTGGGGTTTTAAGTTTATCACTCCCAAGCCACCTTCCTCTTTTGATTTGCATACTGTAGGCCAGGCAGCTTTTGGTCTTTGGTTTGCATTAATGTTTGCTCCTCCCCATAGACAAAGTTTCCTGAACTTGTCTATTTGACTGATAACAGGGTTGTGAATGGCAAAGGTGCTCATACAGAATGTTGGGAAGGCTGAGAAAACAGAGTTCGTCAATTGTAGTCTGTCAGCTTGGTTGAGAAAAAATGAAGTGGCAACCAATCTCCTTTCACATTTGTTCACTAAGGGGAGAAGTCAATCACCTTTGGTTTGGTTAAACTTAGTGGCAGACCTAGGTAGATAAAAGGTAGGCTGCCCTTTTCACAGTTGAAAGTCCTTGCTAGGTGAAGAAGTCTGTCCTATGAGATGTTTATTGGCACCATGACCGATTTGGAGTAATTCACTTTGAGGCCCGTAGATTCACCAAAGGAGTGAAGAAGACCTTTCAGGGTGACAAGTTGTTGGGGACCAATACTAGGTACCCGAAGAGAAGGAGCTAATGGTCATCAACATTAATTCATCCGAGCAGTCAAGAGCGCGACTACAGCTCCAACTGACCCCCAGGTGCACGGGCTCCGCCTCACCCGACCTCTGGGGAGGGCTCCGCCTCACCCAACCCCGAGGCCGCGGGCTCCGCCTCGCCCGACCCCGAGGCCGAGGGCTCCGCCTCGCCCAACACTTGGGTTTGCGCTCCGCCTCACCCGATGGGGTCCCATACCGCCGCCAACCACTCCAAGTCCAGGCGTATGGGCCTGGGTCAAAACTCTGACACCAAGGAAGAGACCGGCACGCCCCGACGTAACCCGTGGCCATGATGGGCCATACCTGAGGATTCACATCAAGAACAACGTCGGGCGTGCCGGTGCTGTTCTGCCTAACCCTCGTACAAACGTTGACAGGCGCGTCAGCTCACCACGACATCCTCCAGGACGGAATGGAGCGCCATTACCGGTAGATGACGCCTGCGCATGGCGCTAGTGACGGACAGGGCCGCGACGTGGAGCCATCCCTGTTGACATCTACAGGGTCGGCGGGACCCGCGTGAAGGAGAAGGACCCGGTGATCTTGGAAGCCTTCCTCTCTCTCTCTCTTTCTTCCCCTTTCCCTCCGCTGTAACCCGCGCTTTCCCTTGGCCTATTAAAGGGAAAGCAGGGCGTCCCATGAAGGAGAGGCGATTCAAACCGGATAGACCCGATTGACGCATCGATAGATCGAGCCAGATACACATAAGCGCATGGCTGAGCAGCGACCGAGCTCTCAGCACCCGTTCACTCCTTTCACCAGAGACTTGGGACATGTCCCTCTCTCGCCCGTTTGTAACCCCTACTACAAACTTTCAGTGCTAGTAACATGAGCAGCAACAACAAACTGGACGTAGGGACTTTCTGCCCGAACCAGTATAAACCTTGTGTCCCTTAAGCACACCATCCGAGCTAGACGCGCAATACTAGAAATTTACTCATCGGTGGTGACTCAAAACACCGACAGTTGGCGCGCCAGGTAGGGGCCTTTTGTGCGTCTCGAGGTCCACACTAGGCCTCGGATGGCTAGTCATGGCATCAGCTAGGTCCCGGGCGCGCACGTGCGCTTTGGGAACCTGGACTTCATCGTCACAACAGAGGGAGGGTTGGCGCAGGCCCCCCATCGCCGTCCAACCTCTCCACTCCACCAGCCTCGACACGATCGCCGAGGCACTTGAGGAGCTGCAGTTGCACGCACCGAAGGCCCGCACCCCCGGGAGCGACCAGCTCCTCGACTTCGACTACGGGAGGTTAGAATGCCAGCTCGGCGCCTTCCTGGGACCCCGACCGTCCCGGGAGGACCTAGGCCACCTCACCTTCTTGTTCGCCAACGTCATGACGCAGCTTGCCGAAGGAGAGCCCCTCTCCCTAGAATACCTCATTCGGAGCGCCACGACGATGCTCCCGTCCGGTCTGCGCAACACCGCAGAGACTGTTGGCCACCTTATGGCGCAATGCACTCCCCCATCCCCTACGAACGACGAGTTTGTGGGGATGACCGAATATGTCATGGAGTCTTTCCACGACCACCTCGTAGGAGAGTCGGAGTCACCCTCCTGCTCTGACTCTAGCAGGGGGAGCCATCACCCCTCTCGTGAATGTTTCATGGCAGGTACTCCCGAGGGACACGTCGAAAGCATCCATGAAGAAGAGGCTACCCCAACAAACGACCTCGATGACAAGGTCAAGAGGGATGTAGGGGCCCCACCTCACCTATGGGTGGAGTAGCTGAAGGCTAGGCACCAAGAGCTCAAAGAAGCACGACTCTAATTCGAGCAGGAACGCGCGGAGCTCAAGCGAGAGCTCGAGCGCCACGGAGACGGCGGGCATGCGCGCGCCATGGCCCGCGACATGAACCGGAGGATCATCGAGGACGATGATGCCCTCCCACACTTCACCCGGGTGAGCCAGAACATCGCTGCCGCGGTGGCCTTGCTCCGAGGGCTTCTGGGACCTACGACGCTCGAGGATCGTCGGGCCCATCATGAGATTCGCACGCTACTCGAGCGTGAGGCGGCACAACAAGCCGAGAGCTTGTTGTCCTGATGATGCAAGCTCGACGCCAGCCAGCGCGCGCCCTCAAAGCGACCCAACATGGATGTGTCAGTCCAGCAGGCATAGCGAGGCGGCAGGCCACGCATCGTGGTCCCGGTGCATGAGCGTCTCGACCGCAACCGTGACGCGCGCGACACCCTCGATGCCCGCAGGCGTGCCCGTGGCGATGTGAGGGAGGGGGCTAGCCGCGGCTACCACCCTCGTCGTGGCGGATGCTACGACAGCGGTGAGGACTGAAGCCCGAGCCCTGACTTGCCGAAACCTCAGGCCTTTGGCCGACACATCCTCAACGTCGCCTTCCCACCACGGTACCGACCACCGACCAACATCCCGAAATACTCTGGGCAAATAAACCCCGGACTGTGGCTTGAGGACTATTGGCTTGCTTGCCAAGCCGGTGGAGCGGATAATGATGATTTCATTATCCGCAACCTTCCATTGTTGCTAGCCGATTTGGCGCGAACATGCACTACAAGAAATTCTTCTTTTTATGACAAAATCCCTCATGACGAGGCCTGTTTTCGTCATATAATGTAACATAATATGACGAAAAGTTATGTGTTGTCATAAAATTATGAGACCCAAAAGTATTTATGACGACATTGTTTCTTGTGTCACATAAAGGTAGCAAGTTTCGTCACAAATTGTCAGGCGACAGGAGTCGGTTGACGGTTGTGAATTTATGACGATTTATACAATTTTTATATGACGATAGTAGACCGTCACTGAATGTTTTATCAAATATGACGACCCCCAATGTCATAAAATACCCCAGTATGAGGTGGAGCCTTGACCCATGACAGTTGGGCTCGAAGCTTGGCCTTGGCCCATGTAAAAATGTAGAGGGGGCCCAGGTGGAAGGAGGCAGGCCGAGCCTAAAATAGAAGGCCCGAGAGATGTTTTTTTCTTTTTCTTTCTTTTTAAAAAAAATTATAAATCACTTGTTCATCATGAACAAGAACGATTTCTCTTTTTAATTTCTAG